AAAAAAAATGAAAGGAATAAAGAGTTTTTTTCAGTTTAACCTCAAAACAAAATTCAAATATTTCACCCCTGCCTTCACTCGTTACCCTGTGGAGAACTGACGTACTGAATCGTTCACTGAGTAACGAGTGTCTTTTTGTCCTGTTAGGAGTCAGCTTTGACTCGTCTGACGTGACGTGGTTTCTTCTTCTTCAGTCCTTTCTTTTTATCCATCTTCTTCCTTGGATCAGCTGTTTCTCCTCTAAAGGAGCTTGATTCTTTTTTGGCAGGTCTCTGTCGGCCTCCACTGAAGGAACCGCGTCCAGGCCCGGTGCCCCGCCCTCCTGCTGTCTTAAGACCAGTGTGTTTGGCTGGAGATCTGCCAGGCGTTCTTGTGGTTCCCTTGCTATTTTCTGTTTTCTTCTGCTTGTCTGTCTTCATCGACCTCTTCACACGGATTGACCGACCTTCCAGCTTTGAACCGTCCAATTCCAACGCCAGCTGAACAGAGTCAGCACTCTGCAAAAATACATCAAAACCAAATGTATAGATACTCATGGTAGAGTTAGCTTAGAGTTAGCTACCACCACTGTATTTTCCCTGATTCATTCTTTTGTTCATCACTGTCAGGTTGAGGGCTACACTTGTATAATTACAATTACTGAAGAAAAAAGGCACATGTGAGTCAGAGTACCTCGAACAGGATGTAGCCAAATCCCTTCCCCAGCCCAGAATTGGGGTCTCGAATCAGTCTCACTGCCTCCACTGACCCGCACTCCTCAAAATGTCGCCGAAACACCAGCTCGTTTATCTCTGAACCAAAACAAAACCAACGGCCATCGTTACCAGGACTGAGTGTTTGATTGTGGCGGTCTAGTTTGAAACCTAAAGACGTCAACTGACACTCACCGAAAGACAAGTTCCCCACGAAGACGGAGCGTTTGTGGTCGTGCTGTGAGGTGACAAGGAGGAAGGAGACAGTTTTCTTTTACTGGTTCAGGTCAGTGACTCACAGAGTGATGTAAGAAACAGGTCAACATTGATGGATGAATATAACTATTAAATTATATGTAATGGAAAATGTTCAATTAAATACAGTATAATATGATATGATGGATCAATCTTACTGATGAACTGTCAGTCACTCGGTCGACTCTGATGTAAAAATCTTTCTGGATCTCCACGCCGTTCCTGCAGGAACACACAACTCATTTATTTTCACATTATTTTAGCATAAATCTGGGTTGACTGGGATGGTCGAACCTTTCCAAAGCTCCGGTCACTCCTTCCTCATCTTTGAAAACCATGTAGGCGTTGAGGCTTTGTTTCTTTGGATGAATCTGACGTCTGGCAAAGACAAAGTTGTTAAAAGAACTGTTTTCTT